TGGAGAAAGAGCTCTCCTTCCCACACTCACTGGTTCCTCATTCATCTGGGCCACTAACGAGAGGCCAAGGGGAAGTGGAACAAAATACTGAAGAAATAAATGCATGCTCCAACATCCAAATCCCCTTTGACCACATCGGGCTCCCTACTTTATTTGCTTTGCTGGCGTTGCTGATTGCTTTTATCAGATAGAAAGCTGCAAAAATAGCAAGTTCTGGACAACAACATCAGGGAACAAAGCTTAAAATTCTCTCCCTGCAAACACCTGAAACCTACTTCCAAGCCAATCATGCATCAATGCATCACATCACTGGGAAGTGGCAAACAGCCTGAGTTTTGAGGACTGGCTACTCACAGAAGGGTTACAGCCCACAGGCTTTTGCAGGCTCAGCCCTTTCTGCTGCTGCAGTTTCCCTTCATAGACAGACCCTCACGCAAGTTTAAGAGCAGCCTTATGGCTACTCTGAGTATGAAGGGAACACAGAGAGATAGGAAATGAGGCTAGTGACAAGCATCTCACCTCTCTATAGCTCACAGGACCCATCTAAAGCAAGGAGAAGTGAAAATAGCTATCCTTCAAATGCCATTTTAATGTTCTGTGTAACACCTGGGTTCACAAGGCAGCCAAAAACTGAACAGGCTGTGGAGAATTAACCACTTAACCAGCAACAAAAACAGTCTCTTTCCACCGATGACCATCACCTGCACCATTGGCCTAGATGGGTAGGTTACTGTGGAAGCTGTTGCTGCTGATTGCAGAGTTGATAATCAAATTTGACTGCATTAGCCTGCCAGCCTGGCCACTTCTTCCAGGTTACACCTAAGTCAGGACCGATGTAATGCATCTAAGGCATCTAAGTAAAACACCTGGCACACAGAAAACAAGCAGCATGACAAACTGAGAGAATTGAGCTTTTTGTGTGACTTTTTGGATGTTGCTAACTGATATGAATGGAAAATTTAATCAAAATGATTAATTCAACATCAAAACTTTAATCATAGAATTATTTAGGTTGGAAAAGATCCTTGGGATCATGGAATCCAACCATCTACCCTACTCTACAAAGTTCTTCCCTACAATGTATCCCCCAACACCACATCTAAACAACTCTTAAACTCATCCAAAGATGGTGACTCAACCACCTCCCTAGGCAGCCTATTCCAGTGTCTGACCACTCTTTCTGTGAGGATTTCTCTTCCTAATGTCCAGTCTAAACCTATCCTGTTGCAGCTTAAATCCATTCCCTCTTGTTCTATCGCTAATTGCTTGGGAGAAGGGACCATCACCAACCTCTCTACAATGTCCTTTCAAGTAGTTGTAGAGAGTGATGAGGTCACCCCTCAGCCTCCTCCTCCGCAAACTAAACAGTTCCAGCTCCCATAAGATTTATTTTAAACACTGCCTAAGTGAAGTCCCAGTTGGTAGAACAGGACCGTTTCTCTCACAAAACAACAGGGCAGCTAAGAACAGAGAGGCAGAATTTCCCATATAGTTTTCACTTTTCAGGGTTATGCTTATTCAATTTTGTCTGTAAAATGTTGTAACTGATGCCAAAATCAAGGCCAGGCTGGACGGGGCTTTGAGCAACCTGGTCTGGTGGGAGGTGTCCCTGCCCAGGTGAGGAGGGTTGGAACCTGATGATCTTTAAGGTCCCTTCCAACCCAAACCATTCTGTGATTCTAAATACGCAAGCAGACAAAGAAACTCTTAAGAAACAAAACTAAACGCAGGTTTAGGAAAGCTGCTGGCAGACAACCTGACACAGAGACACAGGCAGACAGGACAGAGGGGCTCGTCTGGAGAGGGACCCCGCAATGCAGTGTGGCGTCTCTGCATTGCATTTTCCTGGTGGG